TCTTTCCCTTGCTGTGTGTGAGCCCACTCTGCCAGATTTACACTGATCCCTTCCTCCCTCTTTCCTCTGTGGCCCAGGAGAATGTGGTGCGACTGCGCTCGGAGATGCAGGCATTTGTCTCTCAGAGCCAGAGGGAGGCTGAGCTGGAGGAGAAACGCCGCTACCGCTTTCTAGCTGAAAAACATCAGATGCTCTACAACACTCTCCTCCAGTTTTACAGCAGGGTACAGACCTCGTATGCCGGGGAGCGGAGCTGGTGGAGCAGGCAGCATGGCTGGAGGGGGGGCATGCAGGCAGGAGGGAGCCAGCGCTGAGCCACCCCTTGGGTAAAGGCAGCTTCTCTGCATGGACTGGTCTGACTGTACTAGGCTGGGAGAGCATGGCTGGGGGTAAGGATGGTGCTGACGTGGGGGTGTGAGCAATGGGAGAGAGAAGGGCGATGTAGGTGTTTATGGCAGAGTCACTGGGACCACAGGGTCTCTGCTGCAGGGTGCCATCCTAGAAATTCCCTCCTGTGGGGTTCTGTTTAGCCATTCCCATAAGCATAATTGTGGGAGGACCTGGTCCCTAATCTAATGCACATGGCAGACCTCAGCTCCCTCTGTAGCTGTTCTGCTGTTCGTCACCCCCTCTTCTTCTCTCTCTCTCCCCAGGCTCGGGGCATGATCCAGACCAAGGTGCCACAGTGGAAGGAGCAGCTAGAGGCCAGCCGCAACCCCTCAAACAGCCACTCGCAGGGGCTTCTCGCGGCCTCCCATGGTCAGGGGTATCCATCAGGCCGGCTCACCCCTACCCACCTTGAGATGGTGAGGAGCCCACAGACAGCCTCTGCTTTGGCAGTGGCGAGGCTGCAGCCAGCCCTTTCAGGCTGCAGGGCAAGGCCAGTCCTTGGCCGACCATGGTACTTGCTGCCTTGTCCAGCTTCCATGGCCTTTCCTGGCCAAGATGAAGGGAAGTGTCTGTATGGGCTGCAAGGGGGAAACGTGCTGGGTTTGGCTTTCTGAGGAGGACTGGGTATCTCTCAGAGCATCTCCGGCTTGATGCAGCAGCCCCTGTGGATTCAGCCTCCTTTCCTTCCAACAGCCCCAGAGATCCCTTGGGGACTTTGCTTCTCCCATGACTGGGAGTAGATCCAGCATCTTCTCTCCAGAGCCTACAGAAATGAGACTTTCTCCTCAACCAGAGCCCCCCAGGAGGCCGCTGCGGAGGACGCCATCAGCCAGTATGACCCATGTCTGGGAGCAGTGCTGTGAGGAGACACAGCAGCTGGGCCTCTCTGGGAACAGGGTTGGGTTTGGGGAGGGACCACCACTCAGTCAGACACCTGGTCCTCAGCCACATTCCAGGGCATGGTGAGAGGACAGTGCATATGGGAGGGCAAGGCTGAATGAAGCAGGGGGTGAGCACAACCTTCAGAGCAGGGTCCATCTGGGACAAGGCCAGTTTTCCTGGTTGGCTGTTTGAGGGAGGGAACCCACAGGTATGCAATTTTTAAGGCTTCTTGAACCATGAGGGCTGGAACTGGAGTTCCCCTTTAGGTAACGCACCTTCCCTTGTGCTACCAGATTAATATTACCCTGTCCTACGAAACCCAGCCAGTTACCTCATGTCTCACCTGCTTTTCCTTCCTGAAAAATTTTAGCTTAAAGTGTTAAAAAAAAAAAAAAAAAAAAAAAAAAAAAAAGGGCAGGGGGAGAGGCAAATGACCCAAATTCTCAGTTGCTCTAGGAGGGTTGGGAAGAGGGACATCAGCCAGTCATTTAGCAGGCAGTGCCTGTGCCCTAGACATCTGGCCAAAGAGGACATAGTGCAAAGCAAGTGGTTTCAGCTTGAGTTTATTTTCTCCTGCAAGATGAATGTTTTACCCTTTCCCATGCTATGCCCTGCTCTCTGCCTGCAGAGAAAGGCCATCTACTCCTCTAGGATAATTACTTGCCTGGGGAAGTGCTGGTGCCTTTGAGGCTGTGTGGGTCTTGCAGGAGGGTGCTGGACTCCAGCCAGACCCCTCTGATGCCTCCCTGCAGGTTTGCTCACTACCGGCCGTACCTCCCGTTCAGGTTCTTTTGGCGAGGCCAGCAGCGGCGGTGAAGGCAGGAGGAGGAGTGGCACAGCAAGAGTGCAGGCTATCGTGCCCCACATGACAGGTGCCAACCGGACCCTGCTACGGTTTGACGCTGGGGATGTCATCACGGTGCTGATGCCGGATGCGCAGAACGGCTGGCTGTATGGCAAGCTGGAGGGCTCATCCACGTATGTGACTTCGGTGCTGTAAATCGGCCTGGCAGCCTGATGCAGGCTTGTTGGGTCTGGAGCTGGGAGGCTTAAGCCCAAAATTATCTCCCCCTTCCCCTCCCAGCATGGCCTGGGCACTGTGTCTCACCCACCACCTGAGTGGGACATCACCATGTCCTCAGTGATGGGCTGTGCCTAGCACAGGGGGTCTCCAAGCCGAGATGTGGTGGGGCAGGGTGAGCGTGGATGAGCTACCTGAGAAGGCTCCAGGGGCTTTGGGTAGAAGAGCCAGGGATGCAGTGACCCCTCCTGGCTTGCATGACTGAGTGACTTCTGTCATGGACCCAGCTCAGGGCCTTGCACTGCTGGAGTTACCTGAGAGGCCTGACATTTCTCAGCGCACACCGCAACTGCTGGCGCACCCTCCAGTGCAGGCAGGGCATGGAAACTGCTGCACCCAGCGCTTACTGAATTACTGGTGCTTCTGGCCAACACCTGAGTGCAAAGCCTGCCCTGTTCCACACAGCATCCCTGCACCATGCTCTGCAGGGAAGCTCACACTCAGATGTGAGATGAGCAAAAGCAGTGCCTTTCTTTTTGGGGTGGTTCTGGGGTGGAGCTGCTTTGCCCTGAGGAGAAGGGATTTCCACATCTTCCTTGTGTGCTGGCCTTGGTGACCATGCTCAGCCAGAGCATCTCGTCTTGGACTGCACCAGCATTGCTCCCAGGAGCACGGATTTTGCAAGGCCTCTGAGATAAGTGAATCCTGCTCCAAGCTCAAGGACTGTCTCGCAATAACCCCGTCCCCCACCTAGGGTTGAAAGATATGCAGAAACCCTCTCACACGTGGTAGTGGCATCATGGTTGATGCATGGGATATCAGGAGTGCTGAGCAGCTGGATCTGAAGAACCACAAACCATGGTTGCCTGGACCTAATTCATCTCTGTTCCTGTGTCCTAGATGCGGCTGGTTCCCCGAAGCTTATGTCAAGCCTCTGGAGGATGCAAGGGAGGCGGAGGAGGCAGCCACCAGGTAACAGGAGAGCAATTGGCCAGGCAGGAGCTGGAGTAGCTCCTGGTAGGTTACTAACACCAATGGAGTACCTGTTTGGGGTGTGCCCCATGGAGAGCTGCAGTGCTCCCATGCTGGAGCATCTGCCAAGAGCCTCACCATGCCCTGACATCTCACAGGCTTACCCTAGATGGCTCCCCTAACATGTGCAATATCTTCTCAAAGGCACTTGTGACTGGGCCAGTCCAAGCCATGTGTATTTTCTCCAGACATGTCCCATAGATACATGTTGTGGCTAGCACCTGTGCTGCTCTCTGTTCCTTGCTCTTTGACTCTCCTCTTGCTCAGGTCCTTCCCACTGCGAAGCAGTCACAGTATGGATGACATCCTTGACCATCCCAGCACTCCTTCCTCTAGCAATTACTGGCCTGCCATGGCCCAGCCCGGTTTGCCAAACGCACCTCCCCTCTCAATGGGTACCAGCAGTCACCCAAGTGGGGTGGCCACCCCGGTCAGTTCTGGCTCCAAGGTGAGTGCAGGAGGAGTGGCTGGTGTGTGTGGAGTGGGCCACATCTGACTTTCATCCTCCAAGGCACGCCTTTTCTGCATTGGCCTGTTGAGAAAGACAAACACCTTCCCAATGTTGGTGTGTGACCTCCTCTCTTCCTGAGCTAAGGGGTCTTGTTAGCACTAGCCTTTCTCACCCAATCTGTTCACATGCCACCATGTCCTGGTGGCCCCTGCCAGTCAGCCTTGTGTGTGCAGATCCTCAGTGCCTGTCTTTGCTCCCTCAAGGGAGTGCTTTTCTGCCCCTGCTCTCCTCATTTCTCTCTCTTTTTGCTCACCAGGGGCCCTTCAGTTCGGTCCTTTCCTCCATGACCTCCCAGCCTGATTTCTGGTGGCTCCAGGGCAGCACATCTTTCTGCTAATAGTAGGACCATGGAGTGACCAGGCTGGGCTGGGAGTGGGTGACCAGCTAACAGAGATGCCATCCTCCTACGTTCAGAGAATGGAGAGGCATTTCATAGGGCTCCTCTTCTAAATTCAAGCAAGGGTTGGTTACAGCTGGGGTAGAGGAAAAGCTAGGGGCAAAGGCTGAGAGCACAGCCATTTTGGAGAGCCTTAGAACAAGTTGTTTCCAACCCATGGCTTGTGGCCTCACCACTGCTTCCAGCTGTGGGGAATTGACTGGTGAGGACAGTCAAAGGTAAAGCTGAGAACAGTTAAAGATGAGGACCTGGGAGAGGGAAAGATGGTGCTGCCTGTGGGGCATTTACTTGCTCAGTCTCATAGGAGGCTGTGAATCCTCATCTCTCGTAGCTGGTTCCAGGCCAGTGCGAGGTTGCAAGCAACCAGATGGCACAAAGGACTGAAAAATGTAACATTTAATTACTCTTTTTTCCCTTCATGTGCTGCTCTGTGGTTTCAGGGAGCCTCTGCCTGCAGGGCACAGAGGGGAACAGACTCTGCAGCCTGCACCCCTTCTGGGTCGCTGGTTTCCATCCGGTCCTGGGTCCAAGGTGTAGGGATAGACCTGGGATTGAGCAATGAAGCATGTGGAACATTTGGAGTGCCATGGCAGAGAAATCAGCCTCATTAGAAGTTTGGAAAACCTCAGCCTTGCTCTAAACTTCTGTCCAAGACATCCTCCAGCTGAGCCAGCAGCAAATGGTTGTGTGTTTGACTTCCCAGCTGGAACATAGATAGTCACACATGGCTTTCTTGTCTGCTACCACCTACAGAAACCGGTGTACTTTAGCAGGCCAGTTGTCACTGATCCTTCATTATCTACTGACCAAGAATAAGGGTCACAGGTCCTAGGTCTATCTTTCTCCATCAGGTTGGTCCACATTTAAGCAGTACGTGGTGTAGAGTAGGTAGCTACACCTCTTGAGTTCCCTGTGGATGCAGGAAGCATGTGTGGGGGCACTGATGATAATCTCTTTGCCAGGGTGTGTGGGCAATGAGAGGGGGGCATCTCTGGCTGTGCTGGCAGGGTGAAATGTAGCTCAGACTGTCACTGTTTGCTGTGCTCCTCAGACATGACACTTTGGGGATCTGTGGCATCTCCCTTTTTCCCCAAGACAATGGGAGGTGTCCTAGGGGAATAGGGAACCTGTGGTGTGGGGACAACCCTCACCACAGAAATCAGGGTGTTATCTGTAGCTGTGAATTTGTGGGATTATGCAAAGTTTGAATGAATAAGGAGTCAGAGCCCCGTTAATAGGACTTGGGCTCCTAAGTCATTTAAGTGTTTTGTGAAATCTTCCTCCATGTATGCGGTGTTTCCTGCCCCACTTTTGTCTTACCATTCCCCTCCCCACCCCAGATCACTCACTGCTGCCTTTCTTTTCACTGCAGAAATCAGGAATATTTGACCAGCCCCCTGAACTCTTCCCACGGTGAGTGAGGTGTGGAGGCATGCTCTGGAACTATCAGATGGGGGGGCATTATTACAATACTATTATTATTTAATTTTTGGATTATCAAACATGGGAGGAACAGGAAAGTGTCTGGAGGAAAACAATGCACAACCCACTTTCCAGGACAGGAGGTGAGCCTGCAGAGGTGGGCCATTCTGGCTGACTGGGAAGGTTCTCTCCTACCTCTGGTAATACGAGGTAGGACCTGAGCACCCTTGAGCAGATGGCCAGACCTGCATGCTCACCTGCATGCTCCTTCTAATGCATCTTGGAGGCACAATAGCAGCTTGCAGCCTGAGTATGGACCTACGTAGTTCGTGCAGCTCTGCCTGCTTGGAAAGGGCTGAGGCGAAGGGATGTGGCTTTTAGCTTTGATGAGTCAGATCTGTGGAGATGAGACTTGCCATAAATCCCTGCTTTCTTTCCCCATGCAGCTGGGTTGGTATCTCCATGTTTCTGGCATGTTGCTGTGGCTTCTTTCTGCTCCCTGACTCCTTGCTTGGAGGGTCAGGGGCCACAAGTGTAGGGTGCTACTACAAGGGACAGCCTTATGCTAGTGTCCCTTCTTCACCCTATGGAAGAGAGGGGAGAAGCCCTGAGGAGAGCCTAAGGAGAGCCTAAGGGGAACCACGTGGGAACCTGCAGCAGGGTGTGTTAATGAGGGAGAAAACATACTCAGCAGTCAGCTTTACCACACTCTCCTCCTCGGCATGGAGATGGCTGTCCGGCAGGACTAAATAGCCTTTGCTTGCTCAGTGAGTCCCTTGCATGCTCTTTATAGATTTCCTGATTTCCTGGTTGCTTGTTTCCTTTCCCCTTCCAGAGGTACCAACCCCTTTGCCACAGTCAAGCTGCGTCCCACTGTCACCAATGACCGCTCAGCACCCATCATCCGATGAAGTGGGGCTGCGGACGGCGGAGAATTTCAGCGGGGAAGGGGTTGGCATACAAGTGACAGGCTGCGACCCCCAGCTGGGCAGCGACCTAGTGCTACCACTCATGGAGTAACCTCTCTCTTACTCTCCCTTCCCTCTGGGACATGGGGGACCCATCTTGCCAGGCGTGCTTTAGCCAGCAGCAGATCCCTGCTGCTCTTTTTGGATTGCCTCCCGTCCCCCCTCCCCGTGTGATGTTACTGTATTTGAGTGGGAGAAGTCTGGTGTTACTGGTGCTGGTGGCCTTGGAGAGGGGATGTTGCTGGTCTGGGAGGCGGAGGGATGGATGGGTAAAACCATCTGCAGCATAGGGCAGTGCTAGCAGGATGAGAGAGGCAAAGCTTTGCTAGCCCTGCTGTGAGCAGAGAAGGACAGTCACCAAACAGTCCCTTTGCTACCAGAAGAATGAACCCCAAATGGAGGAGGCCACAAGAAGGCTTCCAGCGACATGGTCTAGCTGATGGAGTCTGCAGCGTTCAACTCTTTGCCCTTGGCACCTTTGGTAGCCATGTCTGTCTGTAGCAACATCTGCCCCTTCTCACCCCTGGCATGGCCCCTTCCCTTGCTGGGCAGCCCTGGGGCAAGGTAGGGGTGGGTGACAGTGCCCAGCGCCGCTGCCCTGCTCCTTCACCTATTGTCCTGCAAAAAAGATTTGGGTTTTTTAAAATAAAATGGAGAAAACCACTTCCATAGCCATCTCAGTGGCCAGGACATCGCCTCGGTCAGAAGACGCAGAGGGAGGAGGTCACGGAGTCCCCGCCAGCACTGGGGCCATGATGACTACCCATGGTTGCAGCGTTGAATTCCCCTGCCGCTGGAGGGCAGCAAGGCCCCACTTCCCGACTGCCATGGGTGGGCAGGCCTGGCGGACAAGGCCTGGCGGACATCTTCTCCTTGCCTGCCACCGGGCCGTGTGCCCTAGGGGCGCCCCGGGGCTGCTCGGTGTGGGGGAAACGGTCCCCTGGGACCCTCGGGGATTCCACCAGCCTGGCCCGACCTCCGGGGACCCTGCCGCTGGAGGGCAGCAAGGCCCCACTTCCCGACTGCCATGGGTGGGCAGGCCTGGCGGACAAGGCCTGGCGGACATCTTCTCCTTGCCTGCCACCGGGCCGTGTGCCCTAGGGGCGCCCCGGGGCTGCTCGGTGTGGGGGAAACGGTCCCCTGGGACCCTCGGGGATTCCACCAGCCTGGCCCGACCTCCGGGGATGCCCTGCGTTAGAAATTAACCCCTGGCCGTGAGCGCTGTAAAGCCCCCGCAGGCCCCCCGCTGCCCCGCCTCCAAGAGGCAGAGGGGCTTTGGGGATTTACAGCCTGGGCCTCTCCGTCCCCAAAACCCCACCTGGGGTGAGCCCCGGACCCCTCCCTGAAAGTAAAACGGGCTTCACCACATGTGACTGGAGACTGGCTTTTCCCCCGTGGCGCGCACGCCCCCC